TATTTAACGATCACGCAAGTTTGTTCTCCGCGCAAAATGGATATAAATTATTTTTATATTTAGTAAAATATTTACCTATGAATTACTTTTATATTTAGTAAAATATTTACCTATAAATTACTTTCATATTTAGTAAATATTTATCTATAACTTACTATGATATTTAGTAAAATATTTACCTATAAATTACTTTTATATTTAGTAAAATATTTACCTATAAATTACTTTCATATTTAGTAAAATATTTACCTATAAATTACTTTTATATTTAGTAAAATATTTACCTATAAATTACTTTTATATTTAGTAAAATATTTATCTATAAATTACTTTTATATTTAGTAAAATGTATGAAATAACAATTACAGAGACATCTATCTCAACCTTTTCAATGCTTCAAACGTACAACTCGACCGTTGTCCTAACATAAAGACAACAGTGATCACTCACCACCAATTAGAATTTTGATACGTTTATTAAATTGACGTTGCTTCGAACGAAGGGCATAAATAAAACACGATCTCACGTGTGTAATAGGAAAATAATCGCGGCACGTGCTGGAACAGCCCCAATGATGGGATAATACTCGAAGCTCGTGCACGGGTTGTACCTGATCGCGCAAGCTCTCACGAGCACCCACGCCATGTCCCAAATCGTTGGTTCACGCTACCAAAGCTCACCGATACACCGACACAATCGCGACTCACGCGTCTACGCGAGACAAGAAATACGGTCGATTGAGTGGCTATCTTTAGAGCCGGACCGGGACCCTGAAGATATGCCTCGAATGCTTCTTCCGGTATAAATAAAACCATCGAGCGCGCACTCTTTTCCCCTTTGCCCGAGGAAAAAAATCATTATCGAAAGGACTTTTGAATTTTCTCTACTGCATTCAGTTATCAGGGCCTCTTTTTTTTTTTTAACTCTCAAAGAACGTTTAAAGAATGAATTTGTAGTTTGTAGTTAGAAGATTACGCATTTTTTAGATAGAATTTATTTAATTCTACCTATGTTACATTGTTTTTGGCAATTTATTGTTGTATTTTCTGCTTCTGAATTTTCTGATTTCTGGATTTGGATTTAAATATCCACTTTCTGCAGTATGCAGTATCAAAAAATTCAGTTTTCCCTCACTTTTGACATTCTATTAATTTCGTAACTTGGAGCTCTTAATTTCTTGCGACTCTTTGTAATTGCCATATTTCCTATAGGTTCCAATTCCTTGCAATTCCTATCCTTCCGCAGTTTTCACGAAACTAAACTCCAAAGATAGAAATAAAACCGTATTCTTCATCCAAACTAAACAAAACGCGCAATAACTCGAAGCTAATGCCCAATTTGAAGGCTCTCCACTTCCACAACGAGGCTATTCATTCGAATCGCAGTGACTTGTCTACCAACATCAATCTCGCCTAATCGTCGAGAACAAAACGCGTCCAGTCAAAACACGCCGGTCTAAACACAGTTTACTAAAGCATTCGAACTTTCCGTGTCCCTGTAAAGAAAATGTGCCGTGTGTTTAACAGAAAGCATGGAATGTTCATTATTAACTTCGTCTGTCGTTAGAACTGACTGTAGCTCTGTACCTGTTAGAATTAGAATAGCCAGCTTCGATTCTCAGGGACATTTCTCCGATGTAATCGCGTTTGATCCACGTGCCTCCTTCAATATTTCAAGGTGGCGAAATCAGAGGTGGAGGCACACTTAGGTGTGCTCGCGAGCACGTAAGAGAAGACTAGACCCTGCGAGAAACGGAGACGACGTGATCGAACGACGGTCAGTGCCTAGTTTACGAGCCACTAAAAATACGTGAACGAACGACCTCGCCGTCCATCGCGGCGTTTTACTTTGCATTTCGACTGTGGACGTCTTCTCGGATACATTTTTCGCCTTGGGGAGGCGGGGGGGGGGGGTGTTGAAAGGGGAAATTGATACGTGAGAGGGGAAAAAAAATACGGGCTGAAAAATATTCATACAGATGCTGAAATAATTGACTTTCAATCTCCGCTAAAAAGTGGTCGAGAGACACACAGGTGATAAAGAAATTGAAAAACGACAGGGGATTGGACATTTATAGAATTATAAATTATATAATTACACAATATTATAGAATTCTAAATTATATTTATAGAATTACAAATTATATAATTAAATAATATTATAGAATTATAAATTATATAATTATATAATTAAACAAATTAGAAATTAATCAGAATAGAATCTAGTCAAAGATTGGATAATTTTTTAAACTGTGGGAGATAAAAAAAAAAGGGTAATTACATGAGCGATTCTTATTTTAAATTACTCAGATGGGATTTAATTTTCAATTATAAAATTATTTATAATAAATAGTTTAGACAGTTGAAAATTAATCCACAGCTATCACCATCGTAAAAGCAATTAGACAGTGGACTGAAACTAGGTGGAATTTGCAGGGCAGCATGATTCACGGGCGACGAGCAAATCGCGATGATCGATACGATGAGCGTGAAATCGAGTTTCAGCGTATCATTAGGAGTGGAACGAGTGAAACGAGTGGGTGGACGCGATAGGAAATAAAAATAGAATTGTTTTGTGTCGCTCTATTTATATTTGTTTGCGAGTCTCTGCTTCACCGGGAGGATGGGATCGAGATCGTTTTCGCATTCAGCGAATCTGCAAAAATTATTCTACACTGATATTATAATCTTCCATGATGTACAATGATGAAACAACTTGTTCAAACGAAGAGCTTCGTTTAGCATAATTACTCAATATTTTCTTTTACTTTTCGAATTAATATAATACATGAACATAAAATGTTTTGTTATAATGTGAAACTTCGTTTCCCATAATTACTGAATACTTTCTCCTATATTTATATCGAATTAATACATTACATAGTGATAAAGTTCTTTATTTAAATACAAACTTCGTTACTTATATTTCCTGTATTTTCTTCTATATTCGTGTCGAATTAGCAAACTCTAGACCAAGGAGCTAAAAATTCGAAAAATAATTGGAAACAGAAAATGCCAAGAGATATCGACCAGGAGTTTTTTAGAATTTCATTTCTATCTCAAAAGTTTACTTGTTTTCTACGCGAATTTAATAGGCTGATTATGCAGAAAGGAATTCACTCGCGTGATCATCGTCGTAGCTAGGCACAGTTTCTTCCAATTTCTTCTTTCTTCTTTCCACCGTTGCGAGGATAAGAAGCAAGTGGAATCGATCCAATTTAACTGGCACACGTTTTTCAACGAACCCCTCGCTCTCTTGCCACCTCCTTCTCTTTCACAAGCTACATTCGGTTTACCGTGCGGGGGTGTAATGCCTACGTAACCAGGCTTCAAGCAACCTCGTTCTAACGACATCGTTCCCAATGGGTGTGCAAAATGCGTGAAAAAGAGAGGAGAAACCGATTGAAAGAAAGGAGGATGAATAAGAGGAGCGAGGGTGGATCGACCCAGAAACACAAACAGACAACTTAGTTTCCGACGTTGCTTCACAAAAGTCCGAGTACGCAAAAATAGAATCGAACACTAGAGAACACACAGTAGCGTACTTGAGCGCACGCGAGAAGAGGCGGCAAGAGCAGGGAAAGAGAAAGAATCGAATCCACCTCTCGCAGCCTTTGTCGCTCTATTCTGAGGACGCGGTAGCCAAAAATGGCGACGTCCACCTGTTCGTCTTCTTCCTTGCGATTCTTGCGAAAAACGATGATTCTTCGATTGAGATGCCAATCTCTTTAACTTATCTTTTGAACGTTTGTTGAAATTATCAATAAATCGAAGAGTCTGATATATTGGAGAAGTATACGATAAATTAATAACGCATTTTTTTTTTTTTTTTTTTTGGTCTTTAAACATATTGCAATGTGCATCTTAGTTCATCTCTAGAATGTGAAAACACTTGAGTTATTTTCATCGTGTGTCATTTTCAATCTTCAAATCTGCCTCTTGTACCGACGAGATTGGGGAAAGATGAACTTACTGGTAAACGCCAGTCATTTTATCACTGTTAGACAGTTTGAACATAAAATTCGCCGAGATTGAAATTGTCTACCAACCAACATTGAACTAATTGAAATTAAATCGTTGCCCCGATTCGTCAGATCTGACGTACGAGACCGCAGGGAGTTCAGATTGGTGATAGTGCACGGAGAAACCATGACAGAGATATCTCGGTGTCCGATGATTGTAACCCAACACCCGCGTAAACCTCGCTGCAGCACAACGGAGCAGAACGAATCGGAGCCGGCCAAGAGCGCTTGGAACTGGCAAGCCAACGACGATAAGCATAAAACTTCGCGGGATAGAAGGATTAGTTTTCCTTCTTCTGTAACGCAAGGCCACCACCAAGGCCTCCGCTGGCCGCGGCGAAATGATCGTTAACCTCAGAGATACCTGTCTCTTGCCAATCGGTTTCCAATCGAGTTCGTTCGAACGTTGTCGAATCGAATTTTTCGCTGAATTATTTACACATGTCGATGTTGTTTCGAACAGTTTAAAGAATGGGTGGAGCACTCTGTTGTGTACATACATCAAAGAGTTTATTCGATATTTGAAATTGCTCTAATTTGATAAAGGAAAAGGAAAATCATAAAGGTCTCGCTTTGAGGCGTGAAACATTACCAGAGTTTGTTCTTTTTTTTTAAAGGGAGGGAAACTCTTAAAAGGGTACTCTTAAAAGTTGTTTGGCTAGATCCACTATGGAACACTGAAATTTTCTCTTTACAACGATTCCCTGAAACTTGCTGCACGTCTCTTTTTCTCATCATTTTGTTGAACTTCGAATTGAATACACATACAAGAAACTCTAACATCTGACTCCAATTTTTAAAGTTCAGTAAAGTGGTAAAAAGGTAATCGTACAGCAAGTTTTAAGAGGTCGTTGTAAAGAGAAAATTTCCATGTTAAAGATCGTCTTACGGAGTCAGTCATTTTTTGCTTGAACAAAGTATAGCGTTCTATAGTAAACGATGAGTTTTCTGGATAATTATATATAAAATTACGTTTCAGATGCGAGAAGTTGCACGACATGTGACAAGGTGTTGTCCGAGCTCGAGAAGATCGACGACGATACGGATCACTTTGGGGTGGACTTCGTCAAGATCAACGACAAACGTCTGGCCAAGCAATATGGTATCAAGAACTTCCCAGCGCTCACGTATTTCCGCGAGAAGGAACCGATCATCTACGAAGGTTAGATCTTTAACCCCACAATTTAATCCTTCGTAACAAAATTTTGTCAATTTCATTCATAAATTTCGTCGAAGCATATTTTTGTTTCTTCTTGAAAAACCTTCTAAATATTTGAGCTAAAAACTGATTGCATCGTACGTTAAAGAAACGTTCATTAAGCAATTTGACTTTCTTTTTTGAAAGTTTAAAAAAATTAGACGTGGCTATATAGGCAGTGTAATAACACGCTTATCCATGGTTAAAAATTTTTGCTGATGGACGTCGAGTTTTTAAAGAAGAAAGGAAAAGAAAAAAATAAAAGATAAACCTCTTTTCTAAGCACTTACAAGATTTTCACGCGTACGACGTGAACAAAAGCGGATAGTAATGATTCCTAATGGCTGAAAGTTCGCCAAACTTTTATTGGAATCCGGCCGCGATCTCGGTAACCTTGCCAGGTATGAGAAACAAGGTTCGAGACTCGCCGCGGTATAGTACTTGACCCAGAATCCGTAGAACAATCGCCGGAGTTCTCGAATTTTCGCGATTTTAACATTCCGTCTGATTCCAGTAGAATATGTCAATGACGGTCAGACACCGGCGTATTATCCCACTGTGTGCTCCTTTTCCCGTTTAAAAAAAACTTAATTTCCACTAATTTTAGGGGATAATTCCCTATAACTAAATATTTTACTATGTCAAAAATTGTTAATATAACGCTATTCAGAAGATAAATTGATACAAAAAGTGTTATAAAAATGTAAAGAAAGGAAAGTAATGTTTAAACCCAGATTTCTATATTATTCAGTTTTAATATATTCAAATATTATTTGATGTTCCGTTCACTGGTGATACTTAAGAAGTAAAATTGATATAAAAATTATACACAGAAAGTATTTTACTAATTTTCCTTCAAATTTATATTTCACCCAATTGCCAATATAGATACCATTAATATATTATTGAAATATTAACAAATAGTAACTTTTCCCAAAAAAAGGATTTCCAACTTTATATCAGGGATATTTCCAATTTCTCTATCTACGTCTTTCTTCTCCTAAACTTAAACTTTTCTCAATTAAAATCCTCACCAATCTCCAAAGAAAGGAAATTTCCAACTCTCTTAACAAACGCAATATAATACCTAAGAATTCAGACGAGAAGAAATGAAATTACTACGAAACAATGATCGCCGGATGGACCGAAGATCTTCCTCGAAGCCACGAAGTCACGCTGATCATCGGACCACCTTCTGGCGATCTGGCAGCGATCCCAGGCGTTGGTATTTAGTAAGGTTAGCCCGTAGAACAGCGGCGGTCGTGCGCTCGACTTTTGTTCGACATAACCACCCCCGAGACACGAGGCGAGGGTGCCGCCTGTTCGCGGGAATCGCCAGCGGGTTCGATTTCGGCTAGCCAGTGACACGAGAACCGCCGAGCAAGAGAAATTAATTGGGTACAAGAGGAATGCACGGCGTTACGTAACCAACCCGATTGCAACGACGCGTCGTCGCGTCGGCGCGTGCTGCGACTTACGATTTCATTGAGACGCTCGCTCCATCTCGCCTCTCTACATTTAGATTGAGACGCGACCATTTGCCCCCGACGAATTCGGCTTATAACCGCGCCGTCACAACCTGGTCAATTACGTCGAGATTCCTGTTGCAGAACAACAGATGGATGATTTGTAAAAATATTAAGGCGACGTATCGCATAAATTTGCGAGTTTTGTGGAATTTCAGTGAATTTTGATCAGACTGAAAATTTTCTAATTAATTTCTCTAGATTGAGGGATTATTTCACGCCAACTGAAATGAGAAATTTAGTCACTGGTATTACGTATCTTAGTAAAGTATTACGTGCGTGTAGTATAGTCTGTACATATTCATACATGTTCATACATTGTTATATAACGTTTATGATTTCGATGGATCGCGTTACGTTTAATTCATGTAATTAATTTAATTACGAAGAGGCAGTCCAATCGGTTGAGAACAATAAGATCAAACAACTCGGCGAAGAACGAAACGAGTCGCGTAAAATTGAGAAGATAAAGTAAAAAATTGAAGAAAATTCTCGTATGTTAGAACACGGAGTTGGAACTCCGTATTTTACAATTACATGAAACATTCAGTCGATTGAATCGTGTTCGAGGACACTATAAATTATCCAAGAAGGACGAAATTATACGTTCTATAAGGGGATAAGAATGAAAGAAATTCACTGCATTGACGAGACAGAGGAAGGAAGCTCGGAAATTGGACGCGAAACACGGAAGTAGATCAAAGTACAAGTGTGATCATCAATCGTGTTGCATTGTGATCAACGAAAACCAGCGTTTGGCGCAAGGCGATCTCGCGTAATTTATTAAATAGATACGCGAAATATGCCATGCTGTTCCAGATGAGATCCAGTGAGGGAGGAAGAGGCAAAAAGAAAAGAAAAAGAAAAAGAAAAAGAGGAGAGCCTCGATAGAATTAACGTTCACCCGGAACCGTTTCGACTTGATTTTCCGTTCGATGACGTAACGACAGGTTGCATCTATTTCCATTGTGGCTAATGCAACAGTACAGCTATTTTCGACAGCTCGAGATGGTAAATAGAAGCGAGAAGCAGTCACGATCGAAGATACATGTTATAAAAACCGATTTATTCTACCGCGCGGTAGAATTGATTCTACAGTTAATTTGCGCCGCGAACGTCTGAAGCAATTTCTTTTGCTCCGCAAATCAAACGTACAAATGCAGAATCGATTTTGCAACGAATGAATCATGCCTGCCGGAGCTGTCCTTTCGAAACATCATCGGCGTAAAATTCTATTTCTAGTTCAGCACTATCCGAGATGAAAAAGAAAATTAATTAATTATATCAAGAAACTTTCTGTTTAGAGTCTCTAAGCGTTTAAAATTTAGACGAAAATAGTTCGTTTGTGTCAGAGACTGTTTTATTTAGGAAAAGAATGTTTCTGCACTGGAGTCTATCTAATTTTTCTTTTTTTTTTTTTTGCCAGTAAAATATCATCTTTTGACAAATGAATTTTTGTACGGTAAAAGGAGGAATTCGCTCTCTATTTAGAAAATAAGTTTCCCGCATTACGAAAACCCACAAATTTCTTTTCGTCATTCATCCGCCATTTCCAGGTGACTTGATGGACGAAGAAAACGTGCTGGACTTCCTGACGAGTCTAGAAGCGATGGACCTGCCCGATCGCATCGAAGAAGTAAACGCAAAGATCTTGGAGAAGATCGTCGAGGATACGGAATTCGTGGCAGTCCTTTTCTGTGAGTTCTCTTTCCTTCGTAATTCCAACGTGATTTTCTTTGAATAAAAAACAAAACAAACAAAAGAAATCATATCTCTCTCTCTCTTTCTGTCTCCCTCGAAAGCAAGTTTATCTCCCTTTCATCAGGAAGAGTATTTAAACAAAAACAAAAAGAAAACAAACCATAAAACCATTTCTCGAAGGTATAAAGAATGGAATATAATTTTTTCAAATCTTCGAACAACAAAACCACCACCGTGAGATATTTCGATTTCAGCCATGTAAATAATCGATTATCGAATCGTGTGCATATACATATATAACGTTACACAATATGTGTACATAAGTGTATGCATATCGAAACATCCAGAAACAGTTCGTGTACATTAATACGCAGTAATTTTTCTTATTATTATTTTGTTGTCTGACTAATATATGTCTGCGCAGACACTCTGCCAGTGTATGATTACGATTAACAGAGCTTTCACCAGTGTCACAAGCAGCTGAGAAGCTCGGTCGCATTAACACGTTACGTCTCAAGCGGATTTCTTTGGTTTTATTTTCACTGATATTAACGATGAGCGAGTTCTTCACTTTTCTTTTTTTTTTTTTTCTTCTTCCAGTGCAATGATATCGCGGTATCGAGATATCGTTACAGCGTTATTTTGTAGATACGTCTTTTACCATCGTTCCATTCTCTTCCCTCTCCCTCGCCTTAACGAGATTTCTCAATGCGAAGAAAAATTTTTCGATCATTTTACTTGCTTGTTATCTTACGAAAAAAGAGAGTCTTAAAAAAAAAAGAGATTTAAAATTCTTCTACACGTGAAAATTTGTTGTCCACCGAGGGGATTATTTCGTTTTCTCGTGAAACTTTTGTTTCTTAAAAATTTTTCTTCGACTCGAAAGAGCGCAATTTACGTTCTACCTATCCTACCGATCCTCTTGTCAGTATTCGTCTTTCTTCCATTCGTCTGTAAAAATTTGTTATTGTCCGTTGTGGCACGATCAAAACGGCATCGCAAAGATGGACGGATCAGACGGATTTGAAATGCGCGCGAGAAATGTAGAGGAATTCTCACCTCGATGAAGTGAGAATTTGGACTTTGGATTCTTTCCACTTTGCGATCCGATCACTTACGACATACTTGTAAATAATACATATATGTGAAACGTTCTTGTGTGTGTTGATACGGATAGGTCCGGATACGCAACGATGCGCTGGCGTTGGTTCTAGTAAGTACACACTTCAATGAAATCACTGCTATATGGATGTCGCACAGCTTTCGTTTGCAACCATGCTTGTACCCATATACTGTAATGCACCAATTCGAATGTTTGCGAAGAAGCGAAATATTTTAACAATTCACGAGCGTTTAAAAAGTGAAATATGGAAGATGTAGGAGATAACGATAAAGTGCATTCTTTGTCGAGAAATTTATACTCTTCACTTTCTTCGCGTTCTTCTTAAGCATGATGGTACGTCACGTGATGCTTGACTATATGTTTCCATTTACGTTTTCATCCCAGCGACACCACACGTCTATCTGTAACAAGTAGCATCCACTTGCGAGTGATATTGAAGAACACTGCATTACTTTCAGCAATTATTTGTTACAATTGAAGAGTCTAGAGGAAATACGAAGCACGAGAAATCGTTCTAAAGACAGTAAAAATAATAACCGATCGAAGAAGATCTTTCGTAAATTTCACCGTGAAATTCCATATAAAACAATATAAACGATATTCCCTAGATCAAAGAACTGAATGAAATACACATGAACATCGTTTCAGTTTGCTAATTATCAAGAACCGTGTGCATTTAAAAAATTAGTCGCGATTTAGATGTTAGAGTATGCATTATCTTGCATCCCCCTGCCCCCCCCCCCCCATAGAATAGAAGGAATGTGTATGATGCCTAAGAGATATTTTGTATACTAATCCCTCGAGAGTATCCTTGACGTTATACGAGAAAGAAAAGATACGGAATGGTACGATGTATTCCTGTAAATTCGCCACTTGTGCGAGAAGAAGGAACGCAATGGAATACCCGATTTAACCAGACTTGTTATCAGCTCGAAACTCCCCTATATTTATCCTCCGTATGTTAATCACGGCGCGCGAGCCACGGAACTCGAATAACATTGCTCTATATTTCAAATGGGACAGACAAGCCTGACTGCAAAAAGTGTCTGAAGGCCCTTCAAGAACTGGAGAACATCGACGACGAGGCCGATCAACTGGGTATCGGTTTCGTGAAGATCGCCGACGAACAACTCGCCGACGAGTACAATCTAGGCCCTCTTCCGGTTCTGGTCTACTACAGGCATCAGATTCCTATAATTTACGAGCGTAAGCAATTGAAATTGACGTTAAAAGAGTAAATGAAAGATATTTTAATTGCTGAACAAGTGAGAGAAAGTTATATTTAAATTACTCGTTTCTTTTCCTCTCGGATAAGTAAACTTCTGAAGTTGTTCTTAGATGATTAAATTTTTAATTTAATTTCTAATCATTTGCTTGTGTTAATCGAACGTATTGTGTAGATGAGCTTAGCAGAGAGGAGGACGTACTAGAATGGCTGGTAGCGAACAAGAGCACGGGTGACGAAGAGGACGTGATCGAGGATGTGACTGCGAAGACTCTGCATACCCTGATCGGGAATATCGACAATCTAGTTGTTTTATTCTGTATGTAATTTTATTCTGTTCGCCTCTGTACTTTACTATGCCTTTGCTATTATTGTTTATCGTTCTACTGTGATTCAAATCTTTCCAGACAACCACGGTGACGAGGATTCGATGCAAGTGCTGACCGAGCTCGAGAAGATTGACGACGATTGCGACAAGCACGGGATACAATTCGTGAAAATCGACGACGAGAAAGCTGCGAAGGACTTTGGAATCGACTCGGTACCGGCGATCGTGTACTTCGAGAAACAAATCCCGAATCTTTACGATGGTGGGTAGGTGGGTGGAGCAATTGGGCAAACCGACGAAAATAAAACGAAAGACTGAATGCACGGTTGGGAATTGAATGAAATGTGAAATTGAACGATCGTAGGGGACGTGGAGAACGAAGACGAAATTTTAGAGTGGTTGCTGTCGCAGTTGGAGAAGGACGAGATCGAGGATGTCACTGACGAGATGTTGGATCGTTTGGTCAAGGACGGAAAAACCCTTGCCGTTCTATTCTGTAAGATCTTCCACTCAGACTTCATTAATCAATTACGTCTTTTACTTTATTTTTATTAATTCGTCACGACACTCCATTTTTTTTTTTTTTTTTTTCTTAGTATTAATTTCTAAACTAATCGTCGATTCAAGTTTTGTACACTTTTGTTATCTTATGATATTAGAAGTCCATTTAATATAATCGTGTCGACTCACTGTCGCTTGAAATAATAAATTTTTAATAACTAGAGTTTATTACCGAAAGAAGGGAAATGAAGATACAAATAATGTCTAGATATAAACTTTAAATTGACTAAAAATTGTTTAGCAAAGAATTCAGTTGATTCTAAAATCAATTTTATTTGCAGTAGTTAATAGTTAATTTGCAATAAAAATAATTTCAATAACTGACAGAAGCTTGTAATTTCAAATTGCGAATCATCGTTAGACGACAACAACGACCGAAAATCGCAAAAGGTTCTCAACGAACTGGAAAATATCGACGACGAGTGCGATCAGTTGGGGATAATCTTCGTGAAGATCGACAACACGGAGGAAGCAAAGGAATACGGTATCGAAAAGATCCCCAGCATGCTCTACTTCGAGAAAGGAATACCAACACTGTACGAAGGGAACCTAGAGGACGAAGAGAAGGTTCTGAAGTGGCTGGAGGGTCAACAGAAAAGCGATCAGATCGAAGACATCACGGATGAAATGCTCGATATGGTCATCGAGAAGATGCCTCATGTAGCCGTCCTCTTTTGTCAGTGATTAATTTCTTTTTTATTTGAACATTTATTTACGTGTACTATACGACGTGGATATTTGTGTAGAATATTATTTTGCCCATTGAATTTATTGCTTTAATTTCTTCTTTTCTCTTTAAATAGATGACAAGGATCAGAAGAAAAGCCAGAAGGTCCTTGGTGAATTGGAGAACATCGATGACGACTGTGACCAGCATAATATAGCGTTCGTGAAGATTTCCGATGTGGAGGAAGCCAGGGAGTACGGAATCGATTCTCTGCCTACACTGGTACTCTTCGAGAAAAGGATACCACACGTGTACGAAGGTATTTTTCATAATGATTCAAGTCATTTTAGTGAAACGTAATGACTACAAAAGAATAAAATAAAATTATTTTAATTTTCCAGTAAAAAAATTTTTATCCGATTCTATATGTTTCATTCTCGTAGGATCAAATTTTTGTAACGAATGTAATATAAAAACTTAACGAGTAAAATTTTGTAGTCAATATTTATAGTTTCATTTCGCAAGGTTTAGTTCGAAACGAGAAAGGCATAAAAATTTCGGAATACTCGAAAATTCGAAAAAAAAAGAGATGTAAAATCAAAATAAAATCTTGGCGAATCTTTGAAGTCAGCAAAAACAACGAAAAAAAAAAGTAAAATTTTTGTAATGTTTCAAATCTCTCTCTCTCTCTCTCTCAAAAAAAAAAAAGAAAAAAAACGAAGCTTTCAAATAAAAATTGTACTGCTCTAATTTTCTTTGCGCACGTCGAGCTGAAAATAAAAATGTCGCACTATAGAAACCTTGACAAAATATACTAACACAGACAGAGACTTGACAAACTAACAGAGTAACAAGTTATTCGAATATTCCAGGAGATCTGATGAACGAGGATCAACTGCTCGGCTGGCTGCTGCATCAGAAGAAACACACAGAGATACCGGAGGTGACCGACGAGATGATGGAGAAGCTGATTGAGACCTCGCCGTACTTGGCAGTCCTGTTTTGTAAGCGATCGATTCGTCTTTCTACCTCCTTTTAACATTCTTCCACTGTTACCGGTTAGGTAGGTGCTGTTGGTCGATCGCGAGCGAAAACGAGACACGAATTGATTCCTTTCCGTAGACGACAAGGACGACAAGCAGGACATGCGTATCCTGAACGAGTTGGAGAACATCGACGACGAGCTCGAGAAAGAAGGGATCGTGATCATTCGTATGGACAACGACGCCGAGGCGAAGGAATACGGCATCGATCACCTTCCGACTCTCGTCTACTTCGAGAACAAGATCCCGGCCATCTACGAGGGAGATTTATTGAACGAGGACGAAGTTCTCGAGTGGCTGGTCGAGCAGAAGAACACCGCCACCATCGAGGAAGTGACGGACGAGATACTGGTCGATTTGATCGAAGAGCACGAATACGTTGTCGCGTTCTTCAGTGAGTGTATCGCTTTTGAAAATTTGAAACGCATATACAGAGTGACAGGTAACTCAGGTGGTACAAGCGGGAACGTGGTGATTCTACATGAAAAACTGAATAAAAAAGAAAAAGAGAATAAAATTTTCTCATACGAAACTTTGTTTCCGAAAAAAATGGCTTTGAAAGATTATCGAATACGCGTGCGCTTGATCAAGATTCAACTCAACGGATTTTATTATTGTCTCTACCAACATTTGTAAACGTTCGCGAGGGCACAGAATGTCCACTTCTCACCAATTTTTTTTTTTTTTAGTTTAAAAAAATTGTTGAAAGTGTAGTCCATGTTGTTGCATGCGTAACTGTGCTCTTATTAAATTTCTACGAACATTTTCTAACGTGTCCTTTTTATAGTTTCAATGTTGCAAACGCTATAGTAATTTTTTCTTTTAATTGTTCAACGTTCGCTATGACACGCCATAGATTTAATATGACCCCATAAATAAAAATCTAGCAGTGACAGGTCTGGAGTTCGTGATGGCCAAGGTATTCTTTCATTGCGACCGATCCAATATTGGTAGTTTTCGTTTGAAAAATTTCTCACTTCACGACTGGTACTCCATCTTGGTGATAAATTAAATTTCTTCGAATTTCAAGAGGAATGTCTCCCAATAATTAAGTTGAATCTTGATCAAGCGCACGCGTACTCGACAAACATTCAAAGCTATTTTCCTCGGGAACGAAACTTCGTATGAAAAAATTTTATTCTATATTTTTCATTCAGTTTTTCGTGTAGAATCACCACCTTGTACCGCTTGTACCACCCTGGTTACATGACATCCTGTATATTCTCTCTCGGCATATTTTTAAGCACATGTTCCCTCGACTCGGGGAAATATTTCTTCAGGCGGAGATTGCGAGGATAGCGACGAGTGCGAGAAAGTCCTCGAAGAGCTTGAGAACATCGACGACGAGCTGGACGAAACTGGGATCATTTTCGTCACTACGGAAGACACGGGATTCGCGAAGAAACACGGAATCAAAAGCTTCCCCACGCTGGCGTTCTTCAGGAACAAGGAGCCCCTAATCTTCAAGGGCGATATCGAGGATGAGGACGAGGTTCTTTCGTGGATCACCGACGAGGACACTCTCGAGATACCAGGGAAGATCGAGGAAGTGAATTCCAAGATGTTGGAGAACATTCTTGAGGAGAACGATTACATTGTTGTCTTCTTTTGTTAGTATTGTCAACCAACTGTATATTGCTCGTGTGATTGTTAGATTTTGTTTGGCTACCAACTTTTGGCTACCAAAAAAAAAAAAAAAACTAAGGAAATTTTTTAAGATAAATTCCAGAGAATATTTACATCGTGAATCTTTCCTAATTGATCAACCGTTCGATTCCAGATAAGGAAGGAGACAAGAAGAGCCAGAAGATCCTGCAAGAACTTGAGAACATCGACGACGAGTGCGAGGAGAAAGACATCGACTTCGTGAAGATCTCGGACGAAGGGATCGAGAAGGAATACGATCTTCCTGGGCTGCCAGCGCTGGCTTTCTACAGGCACAAATTCCGTCAGGTTTACACAGGTGACATGATGCACGAGGAAGCGATTCTAGAGTGGATACTGGAGCTCCGAACTCAGACACCGGACGTGATCGAGAACGTCGACCGGAAAACTCTACAGGTGCTGATCAACGACGTTGAACATCTCGCTGTATTCTTTTGTAAGTCTCCTACAATCCATAAATCTGCCATGAATCTGCCTTTGAATCTTTTAACTCTCGATTCGTATTAAATTTGAATTGAACGCATCGGAGATGCATTGACGAGGGTAAAAAGGAACGGTTTCTCGTTAAAAAAAAGTAAGCTATTTCCTCCAAACAGACGATGACAAATGCGAAACGTGCTCGGAGATACTCGAAGAGCTGGAGACCATCGACGACGACACTGACAAACACGGTATACAATTCGTTAAGTCGAACGACGCGAAATTAGCCGCGGAAATCGGCGTCTTCTCGTTTCCGGCGCTCGTTTATTACGAGACTGGCGTGCCCATCATGTACGACGGTAAGTCTCGATTGCTTAATCATTGGCTTGTTCGATCAATACCCGCGCTTCCTCAGTTCGATCGTCTTTGTTTTCTTTCGCCCTCTTTCTTTTTCAAGTGAAATCATTCTCAATATCTTCTTATTTTTTTTTTTTTCCTTTTTTTCTTTTCGTTTTGTTCAGTATCGTTGAAGCAAAGACACGTCGAAATTTCTGCTTTACATTCCTCGTAGACATCCCTCTTTTGCTCTGCATTGTTCTTCTTTGATCGATCGTAATTAGATCATGGGGAAAAGTCAGTTTCAGATTTTATTCGTGACTGAATGATTGAAAAAACGTGACAAACGATTTTAAGGAAGTGCATCGCAGCGAATATTATTTTTTTATTTCTCTCGAGCAAAGAAATGCCAATCGCTCTTTTTTTCTTCTTTGCATCTTTAAACTACAATATTTTAAGGCGAGATGGTACAATTCGTTATAAAGTAAAGTAACAAAGTAGTAAATTTTATTATATAAAGTAAAAGTGTAGAAGATCTTTTTGATAGTCAAGCAATTTCCCAATTCGACAAACATCTTCAATGGAAATCACGTTAAATTGATAAGAAAAGAAAAAAAGTAAATAAATAAATGAAAGGAAGAACAACTGGCTGTCCATCCCACAAGGAACCCCGCGACCAAAAAAACCTGGCGACCCCTTCGAAATTATTTTCAAACCCCCCCTCCCCCTTGCCAACCGAACTGAAATGAAATCTCGGTTCACCAAGCGACTGAGCTGATCCTGATATGCGTGTGTGCCTTTTGTAGGTAATCTTAAGAACGAGGAGAGAGTTCTGGAATGGCTAATCGAACAGAAAAGTAAGGAGATTTCTAGGATGATGATTATTATTACTGGTGTACTGTTCTTTGTGACGTTAATCTCGGTCGTGACAATACCACCGGGCTACGAGTATAACACTCGCGCCGTGGTGATCACCCCGATCGTTCTCCCACAATCGCAGTCCCCTTGACAGCGTGTTCGGAAAGAACAACCATTGATCATTTTCGTTGCAGTTTCTTTCTACGTGTATAGTGACGCTTAAAGATACGCTTTACGATGTTATTTTGAACCGCCAGTCGATGTTGTTTTAACGAAAAAAAAGAAAGAAAAGAAAAAAAATGGAGATTAATTACTATACGAAGGATTATAAAAGTTATTAGTTTGCCTAATGTAGAAATTAATCATTGTTACATAAACGCTTGTTGTTGTTTCAATTTTCAAATGTGGTGAGTTGTTCTTTAAGCGTTGAGGGGCACCGAGGATTGGAAGAGGATCGGCGGTGAGATGAGACAAGCATTCGTTGCTCGGTTTCGAAAAGAACAAGAACGAAAAAAAAAAAAAAAAAAAAAGAAAGATCTCACAAAGCTCGGTGAAAAACGATCAAAAGAAATTGATTCGATTTACATGATATATAGCTTCTAACGCGCAAAATCGCTCTGGCCAACTGATCCATTCACAATTGCATTTATAAGAAAAAGCTCCACCCACACATTGCGAACTTCCATTTCTTTTTGTTCTCTTGATTCCACTTTTTACTCTACTGTCTCTTTTTCTATCTTAATGATTTTCACTTCTACGTACTCTGTTTCTTTTTTATTGTTTGTTCAGTCATTCAGTTTATTTAGTTTTTCACTATTTCACTGCTCTGTCACGCTCAACCACGACACAGCAATAAAACGCTCGACAGCGATTTCGATCGTCCGTTTCGGCGGCAAGCGCGGTTCTCTCGATGAGAAGATAAAAGCAGAGCGTATAGCTACTATTGATATAATATATTGATGATTATAATTCGTAATCTATTTCGTTTCAAATTTGCGAACGCGACGTTTTGCGATGGAAGATCTTTCTTTAAACGCGACTTTCATTAAACTGTTTCGTCGTGAATCCATCGTCGAGCAGAAGAAACAACTTTTGCTCTGCATTTTTGGAAAGTGATCATTGATTCAAGAGATCAACCAATCGCTCGCTCATTTCTCTCTTTTATTTTCCTTTCTTTTAACAAATATCTAACCACCAAACGACGAAACAGTGGAGAGAAAAAAAAAAAAAAGAAACGAAAAGTCGAAGAAACTTCCGTGAATACACACAATTATTTTTTCCGTTCATATACAGTGCATTACTGTCAAATGTATGTTGTGTCGCGATCGTCCATATCGTGAACATCAAATTCGTACGTGTTCGTTGTTAATATAACGTAAATAACGTGATCCATTTCAAACATTAAATAAACGTTAAATGCATGCAATCCTTTGGACCGAGAGATCGTATCGATCACAAAAAACGTAGGTACACGCTCTCATTTCCGGCCGCGGAGAATATTATCGATGACCCTGTTAATACGCAGGTAATGATGATGATGATGATGATGATGATGATGATGATGATGATGATAATGATGATGATGATGATGAGGATGAGGATGAGGATGATGATGATGATGATGAGGATGATGAGGAGGAGGATGATAATAATGATGATGAAGATGATGATGATGATGATAATAATGATGATGATGATGATAATGATGGTGATGATGATGATGATAATGATGACGACGATGACAATGAAGACGAAGACGACGAAGACGAGGATGACGAGGATGACGAAGACGACGATGATAACGACGATGACGATGACCAAGACGACGACGACGATGAAGATGATGAAAACGAAGACGAAGAGAGTAATGAGAAATTGAACAAAGCCCTGAAGAAAATCCTGGACAAAGGTAAAGGTCCGACGACAACCGAGGAGGCCGAAGAGGATTTCACGTGAGAGATCGAAGTGTGACGGGCTTTGTGTTGTATAATGCGCGAATATAAAGAATCACCAAATAGAAAAGCAAATAATATACCATGTACAATGATATCCCTGCAGAAAAACAGATAGAGATATACATGATTTATGTATATATCCCACGTAGAGCGATTCGAGTTGAACGTAACAAGTAATCTAAAGCGAAAGATTTGATTAATTGGAAATCTTTTGGGCCGTCTGCTCGCCGTACATGGCCGAGCTGGTGGCCGTAGGGCGTACCTGCATGAAAATTAAAATTCTCAAAATTATTTTTTTTTTTAAACATTTGTGTTTCTTCTTTTTCTTTTCTTTTTTTTTTTTTTTTTTTTTTTTTAAAAATTTAAATTAAGTTTTTTCCTTTAAAAAAAAAAAAAAAAAAAAAAAAATTCTCAAGGAATTGCTAAGTATTGTTCCCTAAA